AAAGAAAACACCATAAACTAAAACTTTCTTTTGTGTCAAGTTGACTTCCTAAGTGGATAAGACACTGATTACCGTTTTTAAATTCGATGGTTTAATCTCCATCCCTTCAATTGTTGGAAGTCAATGTAATGTTGAGTGACTTGTTCTTTGTTTGCAGCTCAAGCCATATGTATCTCAATGTCACATAGAAGCTAAGACTAGTGAAGCCGGTGAATCAACTAAATCATAAGCTAAGAGTTACGTGGTCTTTTCAGTCACGTCATGTTTATCGTAGACGATTAGGTCCAAATTGAGGCGATAAAACTTAGAGGTTTCGTTCACTCGAGATTGAGGGAAATGATGTATAAAGCCCTGGCTCATTTGAGTAGAAGAAAGCAGGCTTGTCCTGCTTCAAATTCTTGTTTTGGTTGGCTTTTTCTTCCAAGATATTCTTGAAATGTCAAGAGAAGACAACATTGTTGATCTTGACGGATGCAACTGCATAAATTTTCAGGTATGTACGGACTTTTGGTATAACTTTTTTAGTGTTTTAATTCTAAACCGTTTTTTTTTTATAAAAAAAAAAGCTTTTAAAAATTGTTTTTTTGAACAAAAAAACACTTAAAAGTCAAAGGTAAACCAAATAGGTCTGGGAGGAATATAGTCTACTCTTGTTATTTATATCCAATTTTAGTTCTTAATCATACCGTCTAATTATTACTCGAATTATTCCATAAAACAATGTCGTGGAGTGGGAGGTCTGAACATCTAGCTACTTTGTTCACGGTAGCTTCCTTAACTAGTTAAATTCTTTTCAAGTTAGCTCATTTCGAGTTTAAATCACATAGATACGATTGAGATGATTTCTATGTCGGTATTTTGATTTCTTGCTTGTAAATGTGGAATATATTCATGTCTAACTATTATTATCAAACAAGAATTATGCAAGGGTACTAAAAATGGGAAGAAAAATCAATTTATTCAAACTTCTAGATAGAATCTGCCCATTAGTCACAACTAGCATGGAGAAATATAGACTGCCAATGAACTTTCCAAGAATTTCTCTCAAAGTATCGTAGTCCAATATAAATATATTTGAAAGGTCCTATTTTGTTGGGTAATTCTTAATTTATTCCCAATCTTACTTTAGGGTCATTAATAATTTTTAAATTAGTCAATTCTAGAAATTCATTAGATTTTATAAATTTACCCTATTTAAAATTTTGAAATTTTCTAATAAATTTTATATTGAAATATGTGTAATATTTGACCATAATTTTTCTCTGCTTTTGTTAAATTGAAAATGCAAACGTGAAACATATTATTTTTTTCACTGTACAAAAAAAAAATTATAGAGAAAGTTGTAATTTTTACCATTTTTTTTCTCGTATACCGAACAGTGTAAAACCATGTTTTAGTGGTTACCATGGGTTTGATACGTGGTTTTGTATAGAAAAAGAAGCACTCCGTGTTGAGGAGTCATGAACGAGACATGTCGAGGTCAAGTATATTTTGTTTTAGTACGATTAGGGATCCAAAAAAATCGAAATCTTACCAACCTTAATTTTAATTACTAGAGGACAAATGAATTCACCACGATCATCGGAGAAGAAGGAAAAAAAAAAAAGACAAAACGGCGTCGTTCACGTTTTATTGAAGGGAAACAAGAAACCCTTTTTTCCAAAACCGACATGTCGTGTTTTAGTTTGACTTGACTTTTATTGGTTCAAATTGTGACAAGTATCTTTAAAGTCTCTTTCTTCTTTGTATTATCTTTCCACGTTGGCCGTCTCACAACCACCACGACAAGCAAACGTGGACATTGATTTTTAGCATTTTAAAAACATTCCCATTTTCATTATTATTAAATTAATTTAATTCATTTATTTTCCCCAACACCAAATCAAATAAATTATGAAAACAATTCATTTTGATGTATTGAGATTATTTATCTTGTAGTTATTTAAAATTTTTAAAATTATGATTTAATTGAAATAAACATAATGTTTTTATTTTAATAATCCAATTATAAATTGTTCAAAATATAAAAAGACTGAATTAAATAAGTTCCAAACAAAGTTGAATTAAAAAAAGAAAAAGAAAAAGTTAAAAATAAATTAAATTAAATAATACGGAAATGATACATTATTCATTTTTGTTAGCAAAATTCTCCACCACTTGGGTTTGGACTATTCTAATTCTACTTTAAGTATTATATTTTTTTTTACAATTTTGAAAAACAAAACCGAGATCAATATGTTTCTTACAACTAATTGGTTAAGTGTGATGCTCGAGTAAAACTCGAGTATAGGTATTTAATGAATCGAGACCACACTCGAATGAGAACAATCTTTAAAATATGATTCACTCAAGAAAATTTAAACGAATTGAAATTACTAAAGAACCCATGTCGATATGTTGGAGTTGACCTCATTATTAGAATACAACGAGTAGGTAACATGGTCATAGGACCCGTGTCGGTATGTTGGAGTTGACTTAATTATTTGAAACAACCAATAGGTAACACGGTCATATCATAACAGATGTAACTGTAGACAAAGCAGTTGAATTGTAGGGGATGCAGAGAAATGTCTGGCGTCTTGTCTAGTTTTAGAGGGGAATTTTAAAGAGTAATTAAATAAATAAATAAATTAGTTGAAAAATCGAAATTCTTTTGTAACAAAAGATTTGAAAATTTTAAGAGTTTGAATTCAAAATAATGTCAGTGGTTTTGTGAGCCAATGAAATGGCGCCATCTGTCCACCGTCATGCCGCTCTGTTTCTTAGAAATTCCAAAGAAGTCTCGTATGAACGCTCATGAAATGAAGCTTCACTTGCCCTTTTCACCAATACCGCCTTCTTTATATTTCAAATCCATTTCCCAAACCTCCATCTGCTTCCTCCAATGGCGAACCTCCACAAATCCAAGTCCGATTACGACGATCTCCGCCGCCACCGCCGCTGCTGTTGCTGCAAACGGCATCCCAAGCACCGCCAATCTCCCGGCGTTTGCTCCCTCTGTTTGACAGAAAAGCTCTCGCAAATCCTCTCCGCGACTACTTCATCGCGTAAAATCTCCGATTCTCTTTCTTCTTCTTCCTCCGATTCCTATTCTTATTACTCCTCTGTTTCCTCTTGTTCTTCCTGTTCTTCGCCGAATCGGCCTTACGATAAGGCTACGGCGTCTTCGATCTATAAGAAGAGTAGATCGATGGCGTTTGCGTCGCGATTTAGACGAGGAACAGATAGCGATAGTGGAAAGAAGAGTCACCTAGGGTTTTGGTCGAGGTTTCTGAATCGGCCGAGACGGAAGAGAATGGAATTGGAGGAGGCTTTGATGCACTCCAGATCAAGCGCCGTGGTGCAGGGGAACGTGCATGGCTGAACAGAATCGCCTCTCGCAACGCGAATCGTGATTTCTTCATCAGTTTTTTCTTTCTGTTACGAAACAATTGAATCCTCGTTAGGGTTTGAGAAGATTTCGTTTGATTAAACATGTAAATAATCCATACGAATTAGCGAAGAAATTGGCTTCTATTCGACGATGTCTTAGGCTTTAAGATTCCCCTTATTCAATCATTTTTGTTTTTAAAATTTTTAAAATCTTGTTTATTATTATTCCTTCTCTTTTTCTACTTTCTTCAAATAAATGCTTTAATTTTTCAAAACGTCCCATTTAAATTTTAAGAGGAAAAACAAAATCATCTACCCATCAACCTATTCTATGAGATCTACAAGTATGAACACAATTAAATGCTAAAAATTGAATAATTATATTGATAAACATTTGATTTATTATTATGAAAAATTATTAAATAACACTCCTCTACTTCTTAATTATAAATTATATGTAATTTAATTAGGTTAAGGTCTTAATTATAAATTATATGTAATTTAATTAGGTTAAGGTCGTAAATAATAGTTTCATTAGTTTAGTTATATATATTTTTTTAATGTGATTCAAAACTTTCATTAAAAAATATATAAATATAAGCGATTTAAATCTTATTTTCGCCTACATATATTTATCTATTTATTGAGTAAGATTTTTGATCAAATATATATAATATTTAAAAAATAAAAATTATCTAATGAACTTAGTTTTTTTTATTTTTTATTAATGATGAAGATTCTATTTATTTATATGTAACTTTTAATATATTATAATATCGTATTTATTTCTACTACAATGTATAAAAAAAAAATTGTATACATATATAATAACGATTGCAATTGTTTAAAAAAAATTGTTTGATGGTGGGCGTGTTTTAACGTGTTTTAAAATTTTCAAATCTAAACCACTTCCAATATTTTAATAGTCATTTTATTTTTTAAAATTATTATTTGAAACAATTTTGATCAAATGAAAATAATTTTTTCGGTAGAAAAATATATATTTTTTTAAGGAAAACTTTGGATTTAAAAAAATAATAGTAATATATATATATATTAATATATATATATATATATATATATATATATATATATATATATTAATTATTTAATTATTTAAGCTATTTTTGCATGAATATTTGCGTAAGAAAAGTCTAAAAGGGCATGAGCACCGATGCTTCCTTTTTTATGCAAATTGCAAAGAAATTGCCTTTTTATATATTTATAAACAAAGATGATTATTATAAGAAAATAATAATTACTTTAATTATTTAATCATTTTTAAACTTTCAATTCTTTTATAATAAATTTTTTAATTTAGGTTCTCCATCAAAACAATTTAAAAAAAAAATTAATTAATATATTAGTTATAGTTTAATAAAATTAATTTTTTAAAATAAAAGTTAAGACACTAAATTTATAATTTAAAAATTCGCCAATAAAATTTTATTCGAGAGCCCAATTTTTTCTTTTGTAATTAAATGTTCATTTAAAAAAATAAATAACTGTGCATGAGTAAAAAAAAATATTAATTTAACGAATTTGGTAAATTTTATGAAATTCTCGAAATTTTGCGATTCAATATTATTTATTTATTTATTATTATTATTATTTTTTGTACTTTTCTCTTTTAAGTAAACTGCTTGTGCTTACTGCTTAGGGCTCACCGATCTCCTGCAACTGTTCTCTGAATCCAATCGCAGCTCTCTCTTTGATCGTCCCTCGCCTTCAATTTCGTTCACGGCTCTCAATTTCATCGAGGTTCGTTCCTAATAATATGTTTGTTTTTAGGATTTGCTTTGCTGATTGAATGTTAGTTTTGGATTTGCTATCTTTCTCCGTCTCACGAATGATTCGAAGTGAGCAATGATGCAACAAATCTCTCTCTCGTGTTCGTTCCATTTACATTATGAAACCATATCTTCAATTGCGAACTTGTTTTTTTTAGAGAGAATGAATTTCTGTACGATTGATAAACTCTGCACTGCAACTCGTTGTTGGCACACGATTTTCTTTGAAATTCCACACTTGGTTGAAATCAAAAGGGGAAGAAAATTTGTTTTGATTGTTACGTTGTTATGTTCTTTGATAATGACATGATATACATACAAGAAGATTACTCTTGTTAACTTAATATGTGATTTGATAATTGGGGTTTTAGGGTTTTACGCTCGGAGGTGGAGAGATGGACGGTAGCGGAAATCGCCTTCTCCCAGCTGATGCTTTTCCATTGTTCCAGGAAGGTATCGGGTTGGTTTTATCTCGTTGGTCAGCTCTTCAGTTGGCGGTGGACAATGAGTGGGGTGGTCGCGACTCTCGTCGTAAAGTTGAACTATTGTGCTCTGATATTTTCACATGGTTTACTCAGAACAAAGGTGATTTTGCTCCTCCCACTTGAATAATATTGGTACTATCTACATGCACTGTTTAACTTTGCAAACAATTAAAATACTTTGTTTTACTATAAACATAAAAAAGAAATCCATTAAACGACGAGATCATTGTCTTATAAAGCTCACTGAGGCGTGCGCCTTGGCATGGCCCCTGCGCCTTGCTTCAAAGAAGCAACGTTCCCTTGATGAAGCGTGCTTGAGGTGTTGCTCCTCAAGCCTAATTCTTACCTTTAAGGGCTATAACAGATATAGTGCTTTTGTGTGCCTTGGGCTGTAAAGAACACTGGGTGAGATTATTTGTATGATTTCTTATTCACATCACAACGTTTTGTCTTTGATGTTCAGTTTGGTTAATTGATGATCTGAATTTTCTTCCTTGAAGAGATTCATTTAGTTCAAATTATTTTCAACTTTTCTAGATGATAGTTGATTTGTAGTGGAACTTGATACCATGAAAGCATAACGTTTTTGTCGTTTCTCATTTCAATACTTCATATTGCTTTTTCTATCTGAAAAAGTTACAATTTTTACCTTGCAGAGACACTATATATCGATGACTTAGAAATGATTCTTGATGAAACTATGCTTTCGTTGAACACTCAGGTTGATGATGGTAGCATTGAGGAGGTATATTTTATACCGCTCTCGATCCTTGTTTGTCTTTGAATAAAGCCCTCTTTTTCAGAACTAAGGTTAATAGCATACCGTTATTTTAAGACAGTTAATACAAATATTTGTTTGAACATTGTTGTTGAAATTTATTCTCTTAATCAAATAAATTTATTGTATATTGAGTTTAGTTGTTTACTAGTGGCTAACTATTCTCGATGAATGGCTTTTCTACCTGATTTGATTCTGGATGGTTTTCAATGTGACTTGTGAAACTTGAGTTCTGTTAGAGATATTTTGAAAATTTTGCTTCCACGTCTTAGAGTCTCGTTGCGTGATGCTTTTGGTTGGAATAGTTCGATATCCTATTAAACTTTTAGCTATTTGTTATGGCTAACTTCAGAAGATAGATGCTTGGAGGACGGTGGTGATGGTATAAATAACAACCTAGTGGAACACAATGTAGTTCGTTAGTTTTCGAATCTAATAACCTTTTACATCTAATCTCGAAGTGAATTTATTTTCTTTGTAGTCATTTTCTATGTTCTGTAGGAGTTGACTGGAAAAGCACTTAAAAAGTTCATAATTCTAATAGATCTGTCTAGTCACACTTTATATCTGCTCCACATTTACCTTGTTGCTCTATCTCTTTTGTTAGAATACTTGGTTGAAGCCGAAAAAATGAGATACCGAATACAAACAGAATTCGAGTATTTACTCTTATTAATGGATTTTTGTAATCTCATATTTAAAATCATCTCTGAGAAGTAAAATATGTTACTATGACGTAGCTCATTCGAGATTTGAGTTATTTACTCTAAATAATGTTTTCTCCCTAATGGAGCAGGTAGCTGAAAAATTGATTTTCATGCATGAGGAGTGTGTGGATGGTAACTTTAGCTCTATCGAAAGGTTAAGACAATCCCCTCTTCCACGAGGTGCTCATTCTCATGTTAGTCAGGTAATGTGAACTTTTGTCCTAACCAGTCGGTCGGTTCTTTCGTGGCTCGTTATTCAATAGTGTGATTTTGGTAGTGTTTGTTATTCCTTGAGTCTACATTGTCATAGCTTATGGTGAAAAAACTTGCAATTTTCAGAGAATCTTTCATTCATTGTACAAAAAAAAAAAAAACAAAGATTTGGCATTATCATCTAATCTTGGCATTGATTAATTTTAAGGCTATGAGTGATGATGAAGAAGAAGAAGAAGAAGATGATGATGATGATGGTGGAAATGGAGGCGATGGAATGAGAAATGATATGATGGTGGATGCCATACAACAACAACAACAACCCAGGGCTGTCAATCAGCCCCGGCGTCCAGAGGCCTCAGCTCCAGCTGAAGATGGATGGGTTCAAGTCACATCAAGAAGAAGTAGTAGGGGTACAAGAAATTAGTCCCAACCTCTCTCAAATTAATCCATTTTACTGCCCACTACCCATCAATTTTGTTTGGTGTGAAGATATATATATATAACATATTAGAATTCAGCTTGTGTTTTTGGAGATATCACAGGAGTATGCCATTGTTTTCGATTATCGTTTTGTTGATTACTTCTATACGTTCATCGAGTTTGGTAGTTAGATCGAGTAGCTGCATTCTTTAGTAACGTCCCGACACAGGGTTGACTTTATTAGAAGAACAAAAGGATTTTAGTCGGTAGATTGATGCCCATTTGAATTTTGGGTTCTTTCTTTTATTATAGATACTATCTTTATTAAAGAAATACTTAATTTCTTAATATGTTAGAATCCTATTTCATATCTCTATGTTCTTCGATAAATTTTCACTCGATATGTCGTCATTTCTTCCAACTCAAGTCTCTGATTTAATTTATATGAATTTATTAGAGGGCTGATTTAATTTATGATTTAATAACATTTAACTTTAATTTCTTAAATATTTATTTTTAATAATAGTTCTCTCACTAAAATGCTTAATACTATTATATTGTATTGGTTTAAATTTTAATTTTTATCTAATAATTTTAGATTTAAATACCATTACTCTTTAAAATTACTTTTTAAAATATTTTATTATAACAACTAACTCATTAATCATAGTATATATTATACTATTGTAGATAAATTATCATATATTTTAAATTTTAAATTTTGTATTAAATTTGATATACTAATAGACAGTGACCGTATCAATTGTTTGACTAAATATAAATTTAGAACAATAATTAAAATAAATAAATAAAATTCAATATATATATATATATATATATATATATATATATATATATATATATATATATATATTTTGCCATATTTGCAAGGATTTGAATATAATTTCCAATTGGCCCGAAAAAGATGATACGGTTGTGGGTCCGACATCAAATGACGTGGAGGACACGTGGAAGCATCCAAGTGTGGATCAGGATATGGTCACAAACTCTTGAGTATCCACAAATATAGCGCCTTAGAATCTCCTGTTTCCCGGTGTTCTCTCTTTCATCCTTCCATTTCGCATTACAGAGAGCTCTCAGCAGCTACCCACTCGGCAATGGCGGTCTCCTTCCTCTCTTCCGTGCCTTCTTTTCTTCCTCTTCTTCCTCCTCAAACCGCCATTTACCCCGCTACTGCACATCCCTTTCACACTGTAAGTCTTTGCTTTCGTTGTTGATGCGAACCGCATTCTGATAGTAATTGATGCCTGATTGCAGATTCTGTCGTGTGAAATTTCAGGCTAGAGTTCGTTGTGGTCAGATCAAAACGGATGCTATTGCAACCAACGAGGATCGGTTTAGTAGAAGAGATGTTCTTCAAGGTTTCGGTGGTACGATTGCCTTGGTGAGAGCTATTTCTTTTCTTTTTTTTTCCTGAATTTCTACATTGTTTTCTCCGTGCTAAGAGAAATGTGTTTGGCGAGTGAGTTAATTCGACTTGTTGCTTAGAACTCATAATGTAAGAACAGAGTGAACGATCAAACATTTGTATATGAGCTTGAATGAGTTAGAATGAAGTGATTATGAGTTTCTGCCAGTTTCGACCTCTTCTTAGGGATTACTTGTGAGCTCTGACCATATGGTGGAACCGGCTTTTGCTGCTGATTTAATACAGCGCAGACAGCGATCTGAATTTTTATGTAAGTTATATCAGTGTACAATATTGTTTTCCATTTAGCTGTTTGCTTCTATTTTCTATACAATGTCACCCATGTCCTTGTGGTTGAAACATAGAAATTTACTTATAAAGCATGTTCTCTCGACCATTTACTTATTTTGCCAAATTAAGCATAACTCAACTAATATAAAGCATGTTTTGGAGGTTTGTTTGTTCCCCCGCCCCACTGGTTGAACTGAAAAAATATATTATATATTTTACTTATTTCGCTTTTACGTTACTGATTGCAGCAAATATCAAGGGGACCCTTTTTACCACTATTAAGGTATTAATCGAATAAACCATTACTAGACTCGAGCTGATAGGCTGGTAGATTTCATCTTTTTTTGGTACATTCTCGACAAATCCTCTTATGTTAAGGTTTGCACATTTGAACTAAGATTCAACATGTGGCTATTAATGTGAAATAAGGAACATTATAGAGATTTGAGCTTTAAGACCTACAACATCACTAGATTAGAAACTTGTAGGTTCATGTACATTTGTCAACTTGAGTGTAGCTCAACTACTTAAGGTATATACCTCAACTGAAGTCAAAGGTTCAAAGCCTTACACCACAACAAAGGTTGAACCAAAAATATGAACAGGAGAAGTTACATTTAATCTTGTTATTACATTGTCAAGACATTTTGGTTTTAACTGCTACAGTTGTTTTAGCCTGCACATTGAAGTACCTATGTTCTTATAGTCAAACACTTGAGGCGATATTCATTCCCTTTTGTTCTCTGGTTACTTCAGAACAATCCAGACATCGTTCCCTCCCTTTTAACATTAGCTCTGAATGATGCTGTAACTTACGACAAGGTCAGACAAAAATTCTTCCTCTCTTTGAATTTACAAACTGTGCTTGATTTTACTGCATCAACGAACTTGATAGATAGGAAGGAAGATGCTAATATGATCTGTTTCAAGTTTTTAGGCTACTAAAACTGGAGGGCCAAATGGATCCATTCGCTTCAGGTACTACATTTTAGCTGCCATTGCCTTCTTTCTGAGAGAAACATTGAGATTCACATTCTTTTCACAAAAGACTTTTGCATGTCTGCATCAATCATGATTCACAAACAATTTTCAAGTATGGTATTCTATTATATTAACCTTCTACGTTTTTTAGTTCCAACATTCTTTTCAGTCATCATATGGTACTGTGAAGCATAAATAGTATAGTTCTATTTAACTAGCGTCTCAATTGTATAAAATAAATCCTTGCACTTTCAATAGTAAATCTATTAACTTCTTTCCATGCTTTCTGCCATGAAGTTCAGAGATCTCTAGACCTGAAAATGAGAAGTTATCTGCTGCTCTGAGTTTTTTAGAGGAAGCAAAGAAGGAAATAGATTCGTACTCTAAGGGTGGGCCCATTTCCTACGCAGATCTCATCCAACTTGCAGGTTTTACACCTTAACAATTTCCATCTCTGAACTACTTCATATATCGTCCAATTTCGTTCTGATACCCTTATTTCTTTGTATTTATTTATTTTTTGTAAATTTGAATCATGCTGGTAGTTAGCTAAGTTGTTAGTGTCAAAGCCCCTTAAAATTATAGAATCTTTCAGTTCCTAGTGGGGATGAGTTGGAGTAAGACGCTGTTTATAGTCTGAATTTGTATTCCTGTATTCTATTAATGCTACTTCCTTTTCTGAGTAAAAGAATAACAATGAGATCAAGTAATTTTCTCACTGCAGCACAAAGTGCCGTTAAATCCACTTTTCTAGCTTCTGCCATCAGAAAATGTGGTGGGAATGAAGAAAAGGGACAATTGTTATATTCTGCGTATGGTTCCAACGGGCAGGTTAGTTTCTTTGTATATTCATGCTGCATGAACATCTGAATGTACCACAAATATACTTAACTAGTGCATGCATGAGCCTGCAAAAGTGTCACTGGGTCACCCGCTGACAATCTTACTTAGACTCACTCTAACATCCATTCTCCCACTGTGGGCATGATTGGATGGATGTTTGAGTGAGGATCTTTCGGCAGTTCAACTAGAGGTTTGGCAACCCTCTATGTGTCTGATTCTCGAAGTCCACGTTTCTTCTTAAATCTACTAAGTCGTTCTTAGGTGACCAAAGCCATGCAATCAAACTGATCTTGTCAAGAGGTATTAGAGTGAATAGGTTATTCAGAAAGAATGTTTCTGGGTACCAAAGTTATTGAAATAATCTTGAAAAGTAGTTTCTTGCATCTGTTTATTCCCAACAGAAGATTGTGCCAACTCCATTGAAGAGCGTGTTTAAGTCATCACCATAAGTTGTTTGGGATTTCTTGGCCTTCATCCAAGTGGAAGAGAAAGAGACTTTGTTTTGAGAATTGCAGTCTGTGCATAAGCAGATAAATGCTCTAGGATAGTGCTCAATGAACTTTGTGTACAAAAGGTGTACATTTTCCTTATTTTTATTATTTGGGGCATAACACAATCAAAAATGTTTCCTTGTGCCTACAGTGGGGCTTGTTTGACAGGGAATTTGGAAGATCAGATACTGAAGTGCCTGATCCTGAGGGAAGGGTTCCCATCTGGGGGAAAGCTAGCGTTCAGGAAATGAAAGAAAAGTTCTCTAATATTGGATTTGGTCCCCGACAGGTATGTTCCTTAATTTAGTGTTCCATCTGAAATACTTTGCTGGCTTACAATAATCTGTCCATATATATATATCAAAAAACTTAATTGGTATCTGTATAGAAGTAAAATAAAATGAAAAATAATTATATGCCGGACGACTTTGAGCTCATACTTATGAAATCATCTAATAATGCCGTCTAGCAAAATAATTATCATAGAGCATTATTAGATTTAGGCTCTATGGTAATGCTGTCTAGCAAGATGAAATCTAAACACATTTCAACGTTATGGTAAATGCACTTCCCATAACCTAAACTGCCTTTTGTACAACAAATATAAAACTTGTCTCTTTTCATTTTCTTCATTAAGTTCTTGTTCGTGCAGCATCTCTTGAGGACTTCATGTCTGGTGTTTGTTTTTTTAGTCCAAATATATTCTTATAGAAGGATAGTTGACCGTTTATTATAAGGCAAATATTCTTATTACTCAACCGATATTTGCCTTACATTACGGCTTACCATATTTGCCATTTTATTAAAGGCAAATATATTGTATTCATTTATTATTCTTTCTTTTTATTGTTATTTCTATATTATTTGTAATTTACTGTATTTCTGTATTCTGTAAATGATTATAAATAAGAGAACTCTCCTCACTGTTTAGGTGTGGTAGATTCAGCAAATATTTACAACATCAAACAAATTGCATAGTGTATTTTTATCGGAGAGTCATTGTAAAATCAATCTAGCCATTTGATTCATAAAACATTCTCCGAATCCTTTGTCATTGTTGCCTTTTTCTTTCTTTTTTAATCATTTTTTACTTAACTCACATCTTAATAGATTATGCTT